GTTGACAAGCGGCAAGGCTCCCCATTCGGGAGGGATGGAACCGTTGAGAAAGTTTCTAGACAGATCACTGCAATAGAAAAGAAGAGTGTGACAGTTAAGTTAGTTAAATGAAAGATACTTGCAGTGGCAGATATACTGTAATAATAAGAAGGGTTTAACATTGGTGAGTGAATCTGCTTACATCTCTTGCAGAAAAGGAAGTCCTGCAAACTTAGGAAGAGATCCATCAAGGTTTTGTGCCTTGAGAATTCTGTTTCAATGGAAAATAAAAACCACATTGGGCTTTAGAAAATGGTCTGCAACATACAGGCCCATTAAAATGTAAAAAGTATATATAATTGTTTTTTTTTTTCATTTTTCAGACTCACGGACGCGTCAAAAAAGGTCAACAGTGACGGCGTAATTAAATTGTCCACATTCAAGCAACTTAAGCTATTTTTATTTAAATTAAATAAAACAATACCTACTTCTTTTCGAACAAGTCTAATTTAAAATTCATCAATTACTATTTTTGAAATTTCCTCCATGCAAATATTTTTATGGGAATTTAATTTACTATTTTTTAAAGAGGAGATAATTTTATTTTATTAAAACAAAAAAAAAAGAGGAAGAGTAGTTAATAGAAGACGCACATGCTGGTGACGTGGCAAACGGAGGAGCAGTTACAAGTAACGGCGTCTTCGGTTCCCTTGCCGGCGTTAAGATTTCTCCATCCTTCTTCGCCGCTGCATGGATCCACCGTGAACTTCCAATTAGTCTTATTCAACGCCGCCGCTATGTCTCTTAAAGCCTCCACTGCGAATTTACACAGAGAAACTATAAATCATACACCGAATCGAATCGAATCGAATCTATACGTACACACCCATTGATATGTATATACCTTCATCTGTGGGTAATGTTGCAGAGGAAGCGAAGCCGGAGAAGATGAGAGAGACTATGAAGTAAAGGAAGAGAAGTCGATTGAACGACATTAGGGTTTTGAAGATCGGATTCGAGTATCGAATTTAGATCGAGATTTTGTGTTAAGAGTGAAGAAAGCGATGTCTCTGTGACGAATTGGGAAGAGACTCATCAAGACATTTGAGAAATGAAGAGAGAGACTGATAAAGATTATAAAGTCTCTTTCTTTTTTTCTTTTTTTTAAGTCAACAAGATTATTTAACGGGACAATTACAAAAATACCACTTTTTATGTTCATATTTGTAAAAATTTCATTTAGAGGTGTCTATTTACAAAAATGCCACTAGTTATAGATTTATAAAGTCTATATCTTAAAAAATGTTTTGACACCTAAAACTTCATAAACACTCAAAACTAAACCCTAATAGAACATAATTAACCCAATATAAATAATATAAAGAAAAAATAATTTTGAAAAAGTGATATTTTTGTAAGGATTTCAAAAGTGTGGCATTTTTGTAAAGTGACACTTGAAAAGTGGCATTTTTTGAAATTTCTCTTATTTAATAAGGTCTTATAATCAAAAAAAAAGGAAAATTAGGGTATGTGATAAAATGTAGACAATTGGATTTGAGATTTTTGGTTACTTTATAAATTATAATATTTTTATTATATTTCTAGCAAATTTATCTCTATTTAATATTTATATTATATACTGTATTTTTTTTCCTTTTCTTGCCTTATTTAAAGTGGTAGGATTTTTAATTTGCTACTTGCATAAAGTAGACAAGATTTTGCCTGGTTGATTCAAAAAAAATATACTATAATACAAAAAAAAGAGGGGGCCAGCGAATTGAGCATCAAAATAATTCATTGATTTTTCGGTGTAGATATAATTTTTAATTCCGGTATATGTCTTAATTATAGAAAATGAAAAGGGTGATTTGAGAATAAATTAATGATGTGTTAAGAAAAAAGTGAATTTTGTAGTTTAAAAAAGGATATCTGTATTATTTTTAAAAAAAGGATATCTGTATTATTTTAAATTTATTTACTAGGAGTATATAGTATTTCACCCAGTGA